ATAAAAAAACAAACTTCTTGGAGCTTCTATTTGAAACAAGGTAAATGATTATTAATTGCATATAAGTTGCAAAAAAACAAACATAAATTGCAAAAAACCAAAGAAACTTATAGTATCTTTCATTTACAAAAAAATAATTAAACATTTAAATAAAAAAGATAACAAATGAGATCACGCCTGTTAAAAACCGTTAATAGTTTTGTCAAAAGTTTAAAAAAGCCGCTGTCCTTTCATTTTTAGGTTAGGGGCTGATATGTTTTCTATGATCTGGTTCCATCTGATGAAACGAATATCATTGTCGTCAGTTCTGAAATTTTTCTACTATCGTCATATCATCACAGATTTTGCAGAAAATGACCTGGACTTCATCTTCTTCCACTCCTGTACATATAGCTACGTAACGATATTCTGTGCTTTTATGAAAAAGTTTCACCAATGCAAAATCGCCACTTATAATTCTTTTTTCTCTAGATGTTGAATGTTGTGGTTCGTCTTCAAACTGTCTTTTCCTCTCAGAAACTGATGCGTCAAAATGCGACCTCGGCTCGGGTGGCAATTCACATGCAGCCTTAAATAACCCTGTTTTTTCCCTCGATACGTTATGTACTATTGGTAAAAGGCATCGATCGTAGCGACATGTAGTGACAATAATTCGAACCAATCCTATCGGGTTAGCTGTTACACAGCGAGTAGAAAGAGATACATACGTAATTCTTTTTATTTTTATTATAATAGAAGAAAATAAATAAAATTATTTTAAAGTATGGAAAATCAATCTGAAACAAATGGAGCAAGATTTTCTCCAAAAAAACTACGAGTAAAATGTTTTGTTGTGTCTATGGTTGCAAAAGTAAAGCGTTTAACAATCCGGGCGTTCGTTTCCACTATTTTCCAAAACCAAATAGTTACTATGTAAAAATACAAAATTATTTCGGTAATTCGGTAAAGTCGATTGCCATAAAAAATGGCAAGAAGTTTTAAAAATTGGGGAAACAGTAATTCAGCACATGCAAGTTTGTTAGTTACATTTTAAAAGAAGTGACTATGTTCCACCTGGTAAATATTCATTTTTTTGCATAATTACTTTAAGCTATAACTAATTATTTAAAATTAATTCAAATATTAATTACGTTAATCAATATTTTGAATTTTGTGGACAATG